ACTTGTGAATTTTACTTTGTTGGTCAAATTCTAGTAGAGTACTGAGCTCCCTTTAGTATTTCAATTTACCTGTCCTTTTTTGTTCCCCTAAACCTTACACCAACCACCCACCTATACAAAAAGGCTGCAAAAAAATAAGTCTGTCATGCCCAGTCTCTTCTGAAGTCACACTAAAAACAAGTAATCTAAAAAACTGGGGGAAGCGGGGTGGGTAAGACAACATTTCAGGAGATCAAGACCATCCTGGCCAACATGGCAAAACCGTCTCTACTAAAAATACAAAAATTTAGCTGGGCCTGGTGGCATATGCCTGTAGTCCCAAGCTACTTGGGAGGCTGAGGCAGAATTCCTTGAACCTGAGAGGCAGAGGTTGCAGGGAGCTGAGATAGCACCACTGCTCTCCAGCCTGGGCAACAGAGCGAGGCTGTCTCCAAAAGGAAAAGAAAAACAATATTCTGCCAGCTTTCCAAAGTGTGGATAATCACAGATTACATCACAGAACCCTCTTTACTCCCTCGAAAGAAGTAGGAATTGGCAGCCCAAGTACCTATAGAAACACAGATGAAACAAGTCAAAAGAGGATTGACTGAAATTCACTTAATCAGTTAAACCGGCCGGGCGTGGTGGCTCACGCCTGTAATCCAAGCACTTAGGAGGCCAAGGCGGGCGGATCACCTGAGGTTGGGATTTCAAGACCAGCCTGACCAACATGGTGAAACCCTGTCTTTAAAAAAAAAAAAAAAAAAAAAAAAATCAGTTAAACTTCCAGATCCTCTGTTCTGCCGGCAGCTGACTCCCCAACCCTGGCAGAAAACTGGAGATGTACTCTTAAGCAAGAAAGGGCTGTTGGATCAAATAGGCACAGTGATGAAAAAAAAAAATTACTTTTTGAGATCTCTCAACCTCTTTTTCCTCCACTAGGATCAGAAACTGACCACCTTTTAAATCCTTTACAGAGGAGAGTGTAAGACTTCTCTGGTGAGCCTGACTAGCTTGAGAAAACAAAACAAGGGACATATCAAGTAATTTATCAATAAAATAGCACAGCCAGATCACTCAACAGTGAAGTCAATGATTGAAAAGCTCCCCTGCTATCCCTGCTACCCCTCCCCTGCTACCCCCACATAACATCCAATTAGCTTTTAAAGTGCTCCACTCCTAAATACGAGCCAAGGATCAGCAAACATCTAAGGAAATTTTCTAACATGAAAACCAGAAGCCAAAGCAACAGGAAAACAAAGTATCTTGGAAACAAACGTTTATACAGGTTATCATTAATCTTAGAGAAAAAGGTATGTTGGTATGTCATTTATAACAGATGGGGGGTGGTCTTAGAAACTGATACAATTGGCCAGGCATGGTGACTCACACCTGTAATCCCAGCACTTTGAGAGGCCAAGGTGAGTGGATTACAAAGTCAATAGATCAAGACCATCCTAACTAACAAGGTGAAACCCCGTCTCTACTAAAAATACAAAAATTAACTGGGCGTGGTGGCGCACACGTGTAGTCCCAGCTACTCGGGAGGCTGAGGCAGGAGAACCCAGGAGGCGGAGTTTGCAAGCCGAGATCGTGCCACTACACTCCAGCTGGGCAACAGAGTGAGACTCCGTTTCAAAAACAAAAAGGAAAAGAAAAAGAAATGGACACAATTGGCCATGCACCGTAGCTCACGCCTGTAATTCCAGAAATATTCCATATATAAGACCCAAGATCTAAAATGAATTTCTGGGGCCAAGTGCTGTGGTGCACGCCTCTAATCCCAGCACTTTAGGAAGCTGAGGCAGGTGGACCACTTGAGGTCAGAAGTTAGAGACCAGCCTGGCCAACATGGCAAAACCCGTCTCTACTAAAAATACAAAAATTAGCTGGGCATGGTGATGTGCACCTGTAGTCCCAGCTACTCAGGAGGGTGAGGCAGAATTGCTAGAACCCAGGAAGCAGAGGTTGCAGTGAGCCAACATGCCATTGTACTCCAGCCTGGGCAGCAAGAGAAACCCAGTTCCCCTTGCCACTCCCAACCCCCAAAAAATAAATTGACACAATTGAAATTTTGGGATATTTCTAAAAGTTGAAAGATAAGGCAGGGTGCCGTGGCACATGCCTGTAATCCCAGCACTTTGGGAAGCCAAGAGTTCAAGACCAGTCTCTAAAAAATTTAAAGATTAAATTACGGAAACACATGTCCAGGTCTTATACCCAAGTAAGAACTCCAGAGAACAAAGATTGAAGTGGGAGATGGGGAAAGAATCAATTCAGTAATATTTCCCATATCTGAAGAGCAAGTTTACACAATGACAAGACTCAGAGTGCCCAGTACAATGTATGAAACAAACCCAAGATATAGTTGTGAAATATAAGAACACTGGTAAAATCTCAAGTGATTTCAGAGTTAAGAAAGATTCCATATGTAAGACCCAAGATCTAAAACGAATTTCTGGAGCCAGGTGCAGTGGCGCATGCCTGTAATCCCAGCACTTTGGGAGGTCGAAGCAGGTGGATCACCTGAGGTCAGGAGTTTGAGACCAGACTAATATGGTGAAACCCCATCTCTACTAAATACAAAAATAAATTAGCCTAGCGTGGTGGTGCGTGCCTGTAATCGCAGCTACTCAGGAGACTGAGGCAGAATTGCTTGAATCTGGGAGGCGAAGGTTACAGTGAGCCAAAATCATGCCATTGCACTCCAGCCTAGGCAACAAGAGTGAAACTCCATCTCAAAAAATATTTTAAAATTTCTGGCCAGGCACAGTGGCTCACGCCTATAATCCCAGCACTTTGGGAGGCCAAGGTGGGTGGATCACCTGAGGTCAGGAGATTGAAACCATCCTGCCCAACATGGTGAAACCCAGTCTCTACTAAAAAACTAGCTGAGTGCAGTGGCATGCACCTGTAGTCCCAGCTACTCGGGAGGCTGAAGAGAATCACTTGAACCCGGGAGGTGGAGGTTGCGGTGAGCCAAAACAGCAACTACTGCACTCCAGCCTGGTGACAAAGATAAAATAAATTTCTTAAGTAATCCAGTGCAAAACAGAACTTTACAGACAGGAAGGTCTCAAAGCTATTGGAAGATGTCTTGCACCCAAACAACAAAGCCATGGGATCTGGGAAACAGATCATAAATCAAGAGGCAGAGAACCCCAGAACAATGGCAAAGCCCCAACTTAACAGTACTCAACAATTCAAAAAGAGCAAACAGTTCACATTAGAATACAGATAACTATCAAGAAAAACATGAACCTCATTAACAAATTAACATATACAAAAATAATTTTTCAGGTAAAGCTCAGTGGCTCACGCCTGTAATCCCAGCTCTTTGGGAGGCCAAGGCAGGCAGATCACGAGGTCAGGAGATGGAGACCATCCTGGCTAACAGTGAAACCCTGTCTCTACTAAAATTAAATTTGCTGGGCATGGTGGCATGCGACTGTACCCCCAGCTGCTCAGGAGACTGAGGCAGGAGAATCGCTTGAACCTGGGAGGTGGAGGTTGGACCGAGCCGAGATTGTGCACTCCAGCCTGGGCAACAGAGCAACTCTATCTCAAAAAAAAAAAAAAAAAGTTTCTCTTCAATTCTTGTTAGTTCAAAAATTCATGTCTAGTGGACATTAAATTATCTAGGCCAAGAGGTAATGCTAAAAATGGCTGAGAATTGCAATTTAAATGAGTCAGACATACATAAAATAGTACAAAAATCAGATTACAAGTTATTTTTCAAGAATAGGTTTGATCTCTAAAATTAACTGTAAAATTAAATCTAAGTAGTGTTGGTCTCTCAGTACCTACTACTTATCT